ATCAGGGGAATGGCCACGTGATGTAGCAGTGACAGGTGATGGGGATCTAGTTTACTCTGACTGGGAAACAATGACAGTGAATAAAGTGAAAAATGGACAGACAGAGGAGATGATCAGACTACTGAAATGGAGACCTTTCAAACTCTGTGTCATCACCTCTGGTGATCTCCTGGTTACCATGTACAGTGATGATAAAATACAATCCAAAGTTGTCCGTTACACTGGCTCCATAGAGAAACAAACAATCCAGTTTGATGAGGAGGGTAAACCTCTGTATTCAGGAAATTACAAAATTAAGTACATCAGTGAAAACAGAAACCTGGATATCTGTGTGGCTGACTGTGGAGCTGGTGCTGTAGTGGTGGTCAATCAGGCTGGAAAACTCCGATTTAGATACACTGGTCATCCTTCTACTACAAAGAACGAACCATTTAAACCTTTTGGCATCACAACAGACAGCCAGAGTCAGATCCTGACAGCAGACCATTATAACCACTGTATCCACATCCTAGACCAGGACGGACAGTTCCTCCGTTATATAGATGACTGTGATCTGAAGGATCCATTTGGTTTATGTGTGGACCAAAATAACTGTTTGTTTGTTGCTGAATGGAGAGGAAAGATTAAGAAAATTAAATATCTTGGATAGATTTATCTATTTTGGTATACGAGGGATGATCAAAAAGTTCGCGAACTAATTGAATAACTTCCATAAAAGAAACAATATTTGGTTTCAGTGTTGATTATATTTTAAATTAGTCCTCTCCGATTTTAATGCACATCTGCCACCGTTCTGCTCATGCGCGAATCACTGGATATAGGCGGATACGTGACCCCATCCGTAGCGGTCTGTCACAAAAGCTGAAAGACTTTTCTGAGTTTTATATTTCTTTCCATGGTCAAATCTCTGCAATAGAATGGGTGGATAAGAATTTCCTTTCCAAAAATAAGCATGGCGACCATCAAAACCCAAATCTTCTGTCTTGGGAGAGATATTTATTCAAGTCGGATAGAGAATGGGTGCCTCCTTTTTTATCATATCTAATATGTTTAAAATCTAAAGTAAACGATGTTTTAGGTATTTAATAAGTATATTATTGTTGAAATATTCAACTACTTTTCAAAGTGTAAATTGGAGGTCTTTGATAGCAAATTGCTTAATTAAAAACAAATCTCTTTTCAAACTTGTTTTCACTGGGCAACAAAACAAGTACCGGTATCATTTTTAACCATCTGCCTTCCTTCACTAAAACGACGAATCTAATCATTGATTGAATTTATAGGAAGCCATTTATTTTAATAAACTGTGTACAAATTATTATACGCAATTTCAAAGGAATTTCAAAGATAAACCATAAATTCTACAGTCGTTTGTTGAACAAGTACGAGTAGGACAACCATTTTTCGTCACAAGTGACCTATATAGTGACGTCATTTTCATATTGTGACGTCACAATGAAGGAGCAAAACTTTATTCAGCACATGCTATTTATAGAACATGTGTATGGGTATGTGTGTGACAATTTTTTTTCTAATCTAAAATGTAGTTTTGTAGATATAGAGATAGTTCATGAACTTTTTGATCACCCCTCGTATATTATGTTCAAAGATATTCCTGTACGTTCAATACAAAAAAGTCCTTAAATTGCATTTCATACTTTTGAAAACATGTACCATATAATATCATTTCAATATAAATACCTAAGAATAGTCAGTCTTGGGAAAAATATATTATAATCATGGAAACAAGATGTGTTTGTGAAACACTGATGCCCCCGTATAGCAACATAGCTAAGGTTAAACTTTATTAGGTCACCTGAGTAAACTCGGCTGACCTATTGCTATCCGTTTTCGTCCGTCGTCGTCCGTCGTGCATCGTTCGTCGTGCGTTAACATTTAAACATTTTCAGCTTCTTCTCTGAAACCGCTGAACCATTTTCAACAAAGAAGATGGGGGGATAAGGCGGACTATATCCAAATTTTATTTCATATTCCATCTAATATTGAAGTATACTTAATGTTAAATCTCTAACAAAAATCTTACAAACAATGAAAATATTTGCCTATGAAAAAGCATGTACACATTCTAAAAAGAACAAACGATCATTTTCTCATACTTGACAAGATTTTTCAATATGATTAGGTCTTCGCTCCATTTTTTTGAAAGATAATCCTAAAAGTTTGCGATAAGATAAACATTTTTCGGTTTACAAAAAAATGGAGCGAAGACCCACTATACCTTAAAAGTACAATTTTATGACAAAACATTCGCATCTTTCCGAGAAATACTTCAAGTCCATTAATTCAAGGGTCATATCAAAAACATGATTTAAATGCCCCAATCCATTATGAGCCATGTAGCATAGTGGTTAGCGCGTTAGTCTCAAATTAGTACGATACTTTGGACTTTCATTACTGCGGTTCGAATCCCACGTATACCATCTAATATTTTTATAAATGAAAGAATGTATTCGCTTTGACAAAAGAATTGACCTATAGGAGATTTCCCGGAAAAAGTGACATTGAAAAATTAATCTTTATTTGTTGTTTTCTACCGTATATATGTCTAAATTTTTCAAATTTGTATTTTATACCTAAAATTTATTATTTACAACTTCACAATAAACCTCTAAACTTGGTCTAAACATCATTTTGACCGATAAAGCGTTGATTTTTGCATGAATTTTGGCCTAGAAGTCCTTCAGGGCAGGCCTGCCCCTAAATACAATTGTGATATTTTGATAGGTTTGGATGTAAGGTTGAATTTAAGATAGGATTTTTTTAGGGGCACCCCTGCCCCAGGTTCGAAATTCACAAAAAAACTTAAAAAAAAAATAATAAGGAAACCTGATTTTGATAATCTGCTTCAAATTTATACCTATAAATATTATAGTCAGACTAGCTCCGTTGAAATGTGTGCTGACTAATACACTGTGCAAACTAACATTTTAAAGTCGGGGGTTCGAATCCGCCTTGTACTACACTTTTAGTTTTAAATTTTCGCCTTTTTGTCCCCCGCTTGGAAAGTGGGGGATATTAATTTGGGTCTGTCCGTCTTTCTGTCTGTCTGTAACGCTTTCGTTTCCACACGATATCTCGATATCACTTTGAGCTTTCTCAATGAAATTTTGCATAGCAACTCCCTATGGACTAAGAAGAACCCTGTTAATTTTTAGGTCAAAAGGTCAAAGGTCAAGTCATAAATGTGCAAATTCTGTCTGTTATAACACTTTCGTTTCCGCGTGATATCTCGAGAACCCTTTGGGCTTTTGCAATGAAATTTTACATAAAAACACCCTGTGGCCTAAGGAAGACCCCTATTAATTTTGAGGTGAAAAGGTCAAAGTTCAAGGTCGTAAATTTATACATTCTTTCTGTGTGTAACACTATCCTTTCCGGGCGATATTTCAAGAAGATTGTGAGCTTTTGCAATGTAATTGTATACCAAACTCCCTAGGACCTCTCTCACCCCTCTCAAAGTGTCCCGCCCCGTTTGTTTTATTAGTATTTATTGTATTACATGTCCCTATTCTTAGCACAGGGGAATGAGAAGTTATTACGTATAAAACAGGTTCTCGGCGGACTTTATATTCATATTACATAATATTAAAAAATAATACCTTTAATAAAGGTTAAATTAGACACCATGCATTGTGTAAAATTTTGACAATATCGAACGTGAATATATGCATGTATGTGACTTCATCTTTGCATATAATTTTCACTAGTTTAAAGAGGTTCCGTGGTGTAGTGGTATGTCTCTCGCTTCATATGTGAGAGGTCCCGGGTTCGCATCCATTTTCTTTTTTTTTCCGAAATACTTTTTTATTACTAAATGATAGTATTCAGCATGTGAAATGAAAAATTTATGAGGTCTGGCTTGCACAAACTCATAAAATCATCATTACAGTGTGATAAATATTCCATGTAAAAAGAATCTTCTATACACATAATAAAGAATAAGCAACCAAATCTTTATACTGTATTCATATTGGCATATTTTATTTGCTTCAGTATACATGTATACATTAAATTATTTTACAAATTCAGTCAGGGGGATCCGACTCCTCCCCCCTCCCCGAACTGCGCGTGGTTTACTTTTTCCCTAAGCGGGGGACACAAATTCTCTGAATTAGCTTGTCAAATATTTTTATAGCCTTGTATATATTCCTTCAATCATATATCCTTTATGCATGCCCATTCTTGATATAAGAAACACTAAAGAGATATCAAATCGTAAAAATACAATGTACAGTTGTCAGTCAGGCGGAACAAACCTCAGTATATAAGCATACTTTCTCCGAGGACAAGAATAACTCACTCTGTGTTACTCAATACAGGTACTCTTAGCAACATTGAACTGTGATGAATGTCAATTGTATATATTCCTTAGAATTTAATAACAATGATTTTTGCTACATCCATATCAGTAACTGTCCTCCTTGGATTTGATTTAGGCCTATATAATTTGCACACAATTTCATGGAATGTTTTACTTCATTCACGGATAACATTGCCTAGACGTACAGAATATATTTTAGAGGCAGTAAACATTACCATCATGCACATTGACAGGTTAAGACAAATATCAAATATTACATTTTGAGATAACAAACTCAGGATATCAATGAAAGGGTTCCTCATACCTCTACTCGCTGAAAAAAAGATTTAGGTAAAACAAATTGTTATATGTATTCAGCCTAAAGCCATTAATCAGAACGGAAATCGACAAGGTTTTTGTAAAGAAAAAAAAAACAAGCCCGGTCCTATAGGTCAAATCCCTATTTATAATGAAGTGATCCTTTTTTTACGAAATTTTTTTCTCTCAGAAAATGATTTTTTTTTCTCATAATTTCACAAATTTCAATAATGACAAGTAAATTTAAATACTCAATTCACATATCAAATGTGATTTCTTAATATCTGAACCTATAGGCATTCTGTCCGCCCCCCCCCCCCATCTTCTTTGGCATATAGCATCTATGGGTGAAGGGGAACAAAAATTGTGAATTTCATGGTCTCTGTCCCCCTGGGGCCCAAACCACTAAAATTAGTGCAATCTTTAAAAATCTTCTTTAAAACTCCATCAAATAGTCAAAGTGTTGGTATGATTGTTATCAGCATTGAGTCCTCTATCAAAATTGTGAAATTCATAACCCCAGGGTCAGGGGTTCTAGTGCTAGGGCGGGGGTACATTGATTATATAGTGAACATGCATTATTTCTTTGAAAATCTTCTTTTCTTCTCTTGGGTATTAAATAAACTAATTAAGTAATAGTTATGATGAGCAAGAGTGCCCCTACCGAAATTGTGAATTTTATGGCCCCTGGGTCAGGGGTTCTGGTGTAAGGGCGGGTTACATTGATTATATCATTAAAATGCATAAAATCTTTGAAAATCTTCTTCTACGCTCATAGTTATTAAATGAACTAAGTACATAGTTATGATGAGCAAGAGTGACTCTACCAAAATTATGAATTGTATGGCCCCAGAGTCAAAGGTTCTGGTGTTAAGGCGGGGCTCTATTGATTATATAGTGAAAATGCATTAGTTCTTTGAAAATCTTCTTCTCTGCTTCTGGGTATTAAATAAACCAACTAAGTAAATAGTTTTGATGAGCAAGAGTGCCTCTTTCAAAATTGTGAATTTTATTGCCCCTGGG